TTATATAAAGCAAGCAGGGAGGAGTGTGGTGTTTTAGAAATGACAGCCTTAAGACATGGTCTTCTTCAATGGAAACTATGAAGCATAGCTACTGTCAATACGCACAGTCATCAGCTAGAACATGTCTAGACATAGTTACATGAACTGTAATAAGGATCCAAAATCATTTTAATATAATATACTCAACCTCTGTACTATCTTTTGAGTTAGCATTAGAAGACTTCAAGCCAATATGATCTGATTATTCTTACATTCTTCTAGATGAGTCAAATTAAAAAAAATATATATGTATTTATATAAAACAAACTACAAGGTGGCCCAAAATTATCTTTCCTGTTTTAAAATATTAATAATTAAACAATTAAGGAAATACAACCAGGCAGTTTTCAACATCTTTTAGTTCTAATGTTTAGAATACTTTTTAACCTTAGATTTATGATGAAATGGGGTGGGTACAAATGGTTGAATGTGGAAAATTCCCAAAGTACATAAAAATTGTGCCAGGAGATAGAGATTGATTAGAGCTTTTTAAAATGCTTTTCTTTTTCACTGAAACCATGTGAATGATTCACTGGAAGCAAGAAAAGTCACTGTCTCTAGATAAAAAAAATTAGACATTTGGCAATAGTCATTGTTTCTTTTTTTTCTATCACTTACCAAGCATTATCAGGTTATAACTTTGTCATCTCCTTTGTCAAGGAACATTTTATACATGTCCCAACATGTTAATATTCTGTCCAGTACTTGTAAATATAAGTATACAAGGTGCAATGTTTGTTTGAAATGCAGTAGATGTCGCTACAATCATGATGGTGTGATAGATGATGTGACAATGAAGAGAAAAAGTGGAGGATATGTTGGTCTTCAATATATAAAAAAAAGCAGAAACAGAGAAGACACTGGGACCGGCAAGAAAATGTTCTGCTTCTTATGCCAAAGAAGTTGATACTAACATCAAGAACAACTAAAATGTGCAACATTTGATGCTGATTTCAATGAGTGTTTACGTTTGTTTGTAGTTAAGCACAAAGTTACATAATGAGCTATCTGTGCTCTGCCCACCATGGGTATCTAAACCAGGTTTCTAGCACTGTAAGTCTGCAGACATACTGCTGTGCCACTGGGGGGCAATTTGAATGGGATAGGAAGTGGTGTAAAGTTGTTTACACCACTCACTGATGACCTGCAACATCCAACAATAATGAAAGAGCTTTGGGATGGAAAACTAGTACTTTGTTGAAAAAGTTGCCAAGAGTTATAAGAAAACACATTTCATAGTGACAATATCGATGAACGTGCTTGAGGCAACATGATTTGTGTATTGGAGTGTATTATTTACTAATCCATAATTTATGGTACTCAGCAACTCCAAATCAATTAGAGGCAAAATATTTAATGAAGGGTCCATACTTAAGTACAAGAATAGAATATCTCTTAAAAAGATGGACCATAAAATACTCTTGTAAAATGTTTTGTAGGGAACTTTTTTGATACAAACCAACCAAAACATTAAAAGCATAAAACAGAAATTCCCAAAATTGCAAACTGACAAATCAGTCAAACCAGTGATCCACACTCTCCAGAGATGTAACTGAACATGAGTTGAAGAAGCTATTTCCTACATACTGTCACCTCACAATGTTGGATATTTATCATGGGGAACAAAAGGCTTATTAGTTGATGGTGTCAGAACTTGTCTATCACTCTATCCAAGACATCCACCTCTGCAAATCTTCAGACCTATAAGTTGTGGTGTGCAACAGGGGAGAAAACAACACTTGGACAATCATGTTTTCACCAGATTGAGATGCTCATTGAAACAGTCTTATTATGGAGGGTTGTGGACTATGTGGAAGGTTTCTTAGTGAACAACATGCTCAGTATTCTTCTTTGAATTGAGAATAAGAAACCTGATGGACCACAATGAGAAATTCATCAGAATAACTGCATTGTTCTTAAAATATTTTTTAGAATATAAGACACACCCTTATTTTGAAGACAAAGTTTTTGGGAAAAAAAAGCTACAGTCGCATTTGAAAGAATTTTATTGAACAAAAATTCAATTTAGAATTAAACTTTTAAAAATTAGTAATTAATTATTTGTTACTAAAACGAACAAAAGAAACTACAAAACATACGAAAATAAAGAAATACTAGTAAATACTA